TCTTTCCCTCTCCGGAGCTAACTACCACCCTGAAGTTGGTGTTTGTCATTTCGATTCTTTTAATTACCTATGTATGAATCCATAAACAATCTCTGGCCTCGTTTTGCATATTTTCAACCTTATAGAAGTGGTATCATGCTGTTCATATAATTTTAAACTTGTTTTTTAAATAAATCTAAAAATGTTTTATGGAAGAATAATATAGTTGCAGAAAGGTGCACATATCATAAGTGTACAGCTTGATGGACTTTCACAGACTGAACGCCCTGCCATCCCCAACCAGCACCCAAATGGGAGGGTGGGGCCTCACATGCCTTCTTCTTTGTGGAAAGGAAAAAGCACCATATCCTGAGTGGCCCGTGCTATCCCAGCAAATTCCTTGTTCATGCCGTCTCTGTCCTACACCAAGTCTCCACAGATGAGTGTGCCTTGTTGACCCTGTCCCTACGATGGTGCCACATTGTCTTAATTAAGTCTGGGCATCAGGTAGGGTGAACCTCCCCTCCCCCCTTCCAGCTTATACTTGACCATCATCTTGGTTATTCTTGGCATTGCTCTTTAAAATTTTAGAAAGTGCTATAGGGATCAACTGTGAGTTTTTAAAGAAATTAATTTATTTTAAGTTTAAGTTTATATAAGTATTTAATTAAAAATGTATATCAAAGTAATGTATGTACCTGGTTAAAAAAAAATTCAGGTAGTTGAGCAAGGCTTTATAACAAGCACCCAGCTAATTCTGATGTACTCTAAGGTGTGTGAACCACTGGTTCAGCTAAAAGAACATAACGTTTGGCATCAACAAACCTGGATTCAAATACCTGCTCCATCATACTTCAGTGGTGTGATCTTAAGTGAGTTGCTTAACCTCCCTGAGTCTTCACTTCCTTATTTGCAAAATGGAGACAATGTGTTATAGCAGTATTCTCAATCATTTTGGTCTCTGGACCCCTTTATTTATTTTTTGTTTAATTTAAAAAAAATTTTTTTTTTTTTTTGGCCACACCGTGTGGAATGCGGGGGTCTTAGTTCCCCAATCAGGAATTGAACCCGAGCCCCCTGCAGTGGAAGCTCGGAGTCCTAACCACTAGACCGCTAGGGAATTCCCCTCTGAACCCCTTTATATACTTAAAAATTATTGAGGGCCCCAGAAGCTTTTGTTTTTGTGGGTTAGGCCTATTGATATTCACTGTATCTGAAATTAAAACTGAGAAGTAAAAAAAAATTTATTAACTCATTTAAAAATAACAATAAATCCATTACACATTAACATAAATAGCATATTCTTTTGAAAAATAACTTTATTTTCCAAAACAAAACTTTAGAGGAAAGAATGGCCTTGTTTGACTTTTTTGCAGATCCCTTGAATATCTGGCTTACTACAAGACAGCTGGATTCTCAGATCTGCTTCTGCATTCAGTCCGTTGCAATGTCACATGTTACATAGCCTTTGGAAAACTCCACTGAATACTTATGAGAGAATGAGAGTGAAAAAAGCAAATAACATCTTAGGATTATAAAAATGGTTTTTAAACCTTGCAGGGGTCCTAGGACCACACTTTGAGAACTGGTGTATTAGAGGGATATTGTAAACATTAGAATAAATGGGTCAGGCACATAGTAGGTGCTCAATAAATGGCGGCTATTATCACTTTTGGGAGTTCAGGGAAAGAAATTCAGGCCTTAGAGTGTATGGGGAAGAGCAAAGCAGAACCCAGAACTAGGTGGGTTTGGGTGCTAGGCAAGTTACCTGAACAGGAAATCTGAAACGTTGACAAAGACTGAAACTGTGGTGCGTGAACCCTGGCCTGCAAGCCCTGTTATCTGAACAGGTATCCAGTAGGGTGAAGGAACCACAGCTCAGAGCAGGAGGGTCCTTGGTCAGCCCTGGTCCCCATGACCCACTTTGAATAAACAGGAAAAGTGACTGGATACGAAACTCCATGGTGGGGAGGGGCTGAGGCTGCTCAGGTACCTCCTGCGTGGGTGTTGGCGGGTCCAGAGGGAGGCCAGGTGGGTACTGCTGTGGGCAGCCTACCATATGGTGGGGTGCAGACCATGAGATGATCCTGGATAACATAGTTGGGGGCCTGGTGCTGAGGGGGACTGTTTAGCTGAAGCAGCCAGTCTGAGGAGATAGGCTGTGGGGAGGGAGGGGAAGGAGGAGATTACATGGAGGAAGCAACGGAAGGAGACCTAGGGAGGTGCTTAGCCAGAGGTGTGCCCACTAAGGGGCTCCATTGTGGTGTGCCTGGATGGACAGAATGCCACGTGCGGGACCTGGGGGTGAGGGAGAGGGTTCGGTGGAGTTAGTCTTAGACCAAGGTGGCTGGAAAAGGGAGAGCTAGAGGCAGATCGGGGTCGAAGTAGAGAGCCAGCTCCCAACAAGCCAATAATTATCTATTGAGCACCTACTAGTGTCAGGGGCCAGGGGTGCAAGGGTGAATCTGACATTGTCTCTGCCCCTTAAGAGCTAAGGCAAACAAATATCTCACTACACAATGGGAAAGGTGTGTGTAAAGTATTGATACTATAGAGCACAGAGGAGATTAGATACCAAATATTTAGAGCCACCAGGGGAGATGTGACGTTTCCAGTTATCTGAGGGGTTCAGTTATCCCATCATCAGCATCAGGCAGCTCCCACCCTGCAGGATGAGGGTGAAGTTGCCCATTGTGGGGCTAGAAATTGACCTGAGGACCTCCAAGGTTTTAGATCTCTCTCCCTTTCCTGGGGAAGGGGAGGCTATTAGGTGAGAAGAAGGAAAGGGCCTAGCCCTTAAGGATTTGTTTCAGTCCTTAACCCAAAACCTTTCCCTCCTCCCAGTTTGGCAACAATCCCTTCTCTTCCCTGGCCGGGAACTCCGACAGCTCATCCTCCCAGCCTCTGCGGACTGAGAATCGAGAGCCCCTCCCTAACCCCTGGAGCCCCTCGCCCCCCACCTCCCAGGCCCCCGGGTCCGGTGGGGAGGGCACCGGAGGATCGGGGACCAGCCAGGTGCACCCGACAGTCTCGAACCCCTTTGGGATCAATGCGGCTAGCCTGGGGTCAGGTATGTCCTAGGGTGGAAGGAGCTTAGTGGGGTCACCAGGGCAGTCCCTCTGCCCCAGGACTGAATGGGGTTCACACTGCTCCAGAATATTGAAGACAGAGGTGAGACTGTATTGAAGCCAGGGTGCTCTGTAGCCTGGAGTAGTGGCTCGACCCCTCAGGGTAAGGGTTGGTTCTGGCCCTGTCCTGATGTCCCTAGGAGTGACCTAAGTAAAAGCTTATGAGTAAACCAGGCCCCACTTCCTAAGCTCTTTCAACACTGCTGGTACTATCCAGAGTAAATGGGTCAGACTGGGAATGGGGTGTGGGAGAGGAATCAGGGGGCAGGTAGATGTGGGCTGGGGGAGAGGGATGTGCAGAGCTGCCTTGTACAGAGGTGCAGTTTTTGCACTGCACAACTCTGGGAGATGCCCCATTTGTCTGGACTATGACTATACATATGGCTCTAGGGATGTGTGGTAGATGCTCTGATTTCTCTGTACCCTGGGGAGCATCTTGATTGGGAAAGTCCCTTCCCCTCTATGTGCTTATTTCATAAATAAGGTACTTGAACCTGATCCATGGTTTTAAAATTGTACTTCTGAGTCTTGAGGGCTCTGGCCCATCTCCAGGATGAGGGAAGACCAAAAGCGAAAGGCTCCAGGCCTCCTGCCCCAGCTCCAACCAGACCACTGACATACTTGGTTTCCAAGTGAGATTTGGTTTGAGGAAACGGTCTCTGCTGCTAAGACAAGTTTGAAAACCATTGAACTGGATGATCTTTAGTCAAATCCTTTCCAACCCTGACATCTGACCTGTGGCAGGAACAGTCCAGAGGGACATGAATCAGATCCAGTTTGCAACTGGCTTGTCCTTAGCAGAGTAGTTGGGGAAGGGGCCAGGACAAAGCCGGGCGAGATGACCTCGGAGTCGAGAGAGACTTGGACCCACGCCCCAGTACTTGGGTGCCCATTTGACCGTTGCCTCTCCGAGTTTTGTAAACACTCAGTGCCTGAAGTAATGTAGATGGAAGTGAGGCATCTGGTTTCCATCTGGACCCCTTTTCTCTTGTTTTTTCCTTCTTGTCCTAGGGATGTTCAACAGCCCGGAAATGCAGGCCCTCCTCCAGCAGATCTCTGAGAACCCCCAGCTGATGCAGAATGTGATCTCAGCCCCCTACATGCGCAGCATGATGCAAACGCTTGCCCAGAACCCCGACTTTGCTGCTCAGGTATGGAACTGGCACGAGGGGATTGTGTTGGGGGCTGTTGCTTGTGATGATCAAAATGCTCTGGAGCCAGACCGCCTGGGTTTCTGTATTGAGCTCTGCCACTTCGTAGCTGCGTGAGCCAAGCAAGTTATTTAACCCCATTTTCCTCCTCTGTAAAATGGTAATAACAATAGTTCCTGCCTCAGAGAGTTGTGAGGGTTGAGTTAATACCATAAAGTGTTTAGAACATGGCATGGCACGTAGTAAGCCCTACGTACTCGGAAATGTTAGCTGTCATCATCCTCATCAGACCGGCTCCTGACTCTCGTCCTCGTCCAGAGTATAGTTCCATTTCCTCTCACTGTCCCACTTAGGCCTTCAGGATACTTTGAGAGCCTTGGAAAAGCTGGCCAGATTTCCTGCAGTGGAGGGGGTGCCAAGGGAGATGAGGCCGTGGGGGCATTCTGGGGGTGGGTAGGCCCAGGCCTCCCCTACTGCCTTCACCCTGGCAGATGATGGTGAACGTGCCGCTCTTCGCGGGGAACCCCCAGCTGCAGGAGCAGCTCCGCCTGCAGCTCCCAGTCTTCCTGCAGCAGGTGAGTGAGGAGGAGCCTAGACGGGTGGAGGTTGAGGGCCGGGGTAGACCCCGAGGCCCAGTGGGTGGAACTTAAAGGAGGGGCCGCGCTTGGCTCTGGACTGAGGGTCTAGGCTGCCTCCTGTCTCCTGGTACCTCCTGTTGCCTTTCTCTGCTGTTTCCCACCAGATGCAGAACCCGGAGTCACTCTCCATTCTTACCAATCCCCGAGCCATGCAGGCGCTGCTGCAGATCCAGCAGGGACTGCAGACCTTGCAGACCGAGGCTCCTGGACTGGTACCCAGGTGAGGGTCGGTGGCAGGTGGGCAGCAAGGTTCTGGCTACTCCTCCCCCTCAACCCCTTTCTCTGCCACTCTCTGAGCAGCCCTTGTGTCTCTGAGGGTCTGTTTTCCTGTTCCTTCCAACTGCTTTTCCTTGTGGATCTCACATTGCCATCCCTTTCTCAGAGGCCATCTCCCACCTCTTGGTCTCTCCTGCCTGCAGCCTTGGCTCTTTTGGGATGTCCCGGACCCCAGCCTCCTCTACAGGCAGCAACACTGGGTCTGCACCTGAGGCCCCCGCCTCCTTGCCAGCCCCGCCAGCCACATCCTCTCCAACAGGGGCCTCCAGTGCTCAGCAGCAGCTCATGCAGCAGATGATCCAGCTTTTGGCTGGAAGTGGAAACTCACAGGTACATGGGGCAGTGGGGCTGGCCCTGGGACCCTGCAGTGTTAAGGGTGGCAGTAGAATGGAGACAGCAGAGCAGGCTTTGGAGTCAGCCAGACCTGGCTTTGGTTCCTGGTCTGCTACTTTCTAGCCTTGGGCAAGTTACCGATCTTCGTAAGTTTAGTTTCCACAGCTGTGAAATGGAGATGAGACTAGTGATGGCGCTTACTGGGTCAGCTGGGTATTGGTCTGTGTGCCTTATATATAAAAGCTCATTTACTTTATTCTCCACAACAGCCTTGCCAGGAAGCTATTATTATTATTATTTCTGTGTTACAAAAGGGGAAAACTAAAGCCCAGAGAGGTTAAGTGGCTTGCTCAGAGTCACGTATCTAGTAAGTAATGGAGCTAAAATTCAAACTGAGGCATGCTGGCTCCAGAATTTACACTTTAACTACTGATACACCATTTCTGCTTATATCAGAGGACCCTTTTGATAATTAAAGTAGCCTCCCTCTCTGAGACAAGAGAGGAGGATTCTGGGAGGTGAGGTGACCAGAGCCCTGGGCCACATAGTCAAGGCCTGCGGTTTGAGGGAGGAGCAGGGATGAGCCCCTTAACCCTTCTATGGCCTCTGTGACTCATCTGGGAAAAGCCTTTCAACAGGAATATAAGTGTGCCCAGCTCTGTGCAAGGCACTGAGGGGGCTGGATGAAGGGATCCCCAAGGCCCAGTCCAGCTTAAATTGTGTGGACCGTGATGAAAAACAGCACGGGGCATTGGAAACGGCTCTTGTACTGCGTGTTGGGGGCCTCTGTGATTGCTGTGCTCCTTTCAGCTCTGAGTTTTCTGTTCATGATCTAGGCTAGTGCCTCCTAAACGTGCCTTGGGGAAAACATTTCCAGGGGATGTTTATAGGAGTGCCAAAAACGAAAAGCCTTCTCTTTCGTAAATAACCGTGTTTGTTGATTGGTTAAACACAATTAGCAGGTTCTTGCTTTCCTGGGGCCCTTTTCTGACCTTTACTATGGCCGTGTGTGTGTTGACTGCCAGGAAGGAGGGGGTTTGGAGGTGGTATTTATCAACCACAGAACATTTGGCTTTTGGATTGCCTGTTAACATCTCCAGAGTGTTGATGGAAAGCAGTTGGGAATATCGGCTGATCTAGGCCTATCCATTACTTCGAAATCTTAAGAAAGATGCCCCCCATCTTATGATGACACAGTTGTTTAGTGACTTGGGACGCCGGCTCCTTGGCCTCTGTTTGCAGCTCACCGACCCCTGCCCCATTGGTTGACTCTGAGGATGTCTTCTTCTCACCATTATAAACGCTCAGAATCAGATAGGCCCCCTGGCGTTGGTCCTGTGCCTGCTTCAAAAGGCCTGTCCCCTCCAGGTGCAGACACCAGAAGTGAGATTTCAGCAGCAGCTGGAGCAGCTCAACTCCATGGGCTTCATCAATCGTGAGGCCAACCTGCAGGCCCTGATCGCCACAGGAGGGGACATCAACGCAGCTATCGAGAGACTCCTGGGCTCTCAGCTGTCCTAATCCCTCGGCCCGTGCCTCCTGCCTGTCCTGTCCCTCGATGCCAGCATTTGGTTCTGACCCTCTGCAGCTTGTCATCCCTTCTGTCTTCTCCCTTGTCCTCTCCAGACGGCAGGGTGACTTTAGAGGCGTGGGCCCCAGCCCCGTACCTCTGAGAATTCCAGTTTTACTTCTGCACCTCTTGTAGAGCCTTCTCTCCTGGTCCTGCTCTAGCAGAGCTATTTAAACAGTTCTCACAGTTTTGTTGATTGGCCCCTCCTCCTTGGCCCTCCCCCACTTCACCTTTGCAACCTTCAGACTTCTCAGTGGCAGTACAGAGCTGAAGGAGGAACCGACTCTGCTTTACTGGAACAGGGTCTTCCGTCTGTACCACTAGGGTTTTGCTTGTCTTATGTTTACTTTTGGTAACTCTTCCTTCTTTCTCTCCCTCATCCCCTCCCACCTCTAGCCTAACCAATGCTAGATTTCCATGCTCTGAAGGAGGGGCAGGTGAAACAGGCTGTGATTTTCCTCCTCACCCCCTGTTCTGTTCACTTCACCCAGCACTTTTTCATGGGGTCTGTTGGGACTTCCAGAGGAAGGAAGATGCCTGTTCTCCCCGTCTGAAGGGAGAGGTGAGACACAGCCCTTTGGAGCACGAATTAACAGGCCCTGGACCAGCCCAATGAGGGGAGGAGGGAATGAGATTTTCTGGAGGAAGGCAGTCAGGGAAATAGCCTGAGTAGAGGACTTGGAAGTTGGAACTGACAGTTAGGGAATGGAAGCACTAATAGTTCTTTTAGGCCGGAGAGTCCAGGCTCAGGCCTGGCAAAGGAGACTTAAGAGATATTAACGGAATTTGAGTGGAAGAAAAGGGCTCAATGAAGCTAAACAATAAGGCTCACAAGGGGTTATGTTGGTTCCGTTTCCGCAAACACACATGCTTATATATATACACACACATTTCCATGAACCCAGGACCTGTCTGTGTCTCCAGGTACCAGTAATTTAATCTCCCCTCAAAAGACATGAAGAGGATTGGGGTCTGTCTTAGCAGTGGGTGTGTGTGGGGGTGGGTGGGTGCATGCATGGATGCATGCACGCACACATGTGCATGTGAGTTGAGTGGGAGGGTGGATCCCTTGTTGATTTCTGGTCTAGAGTTTTCTCCCACCAGAGAGAAGTAGGCAAAAGGGCCAGTCTAGGTCAGGAATAAATATAGCCTGGAGAGCTAGATCCCCTGGGCTTCTGGATGCTGGGTAACCCAAGGGTAGTGTGGGTACCTCTTCTGAAGCTGTCAGGGCTGTGACCAGCACCCTTATTACCCCTCCCCTCATAGCTTCGGGGAATAGTAGGGGAGGAGTCTTTCCCTCTAGAACCCCTGGCCTTTGGCGTCTTAGCTCCTGCCCTTTGAGTTTTCACTATTTCCCTCCAGGCCAGAAAGTTCTATTTGAGGAAGGAAAGGAGAGGGCAGCAATGATGCCTTTGATCTGGAATTGGACATTGCTCTATTGGAGCACAGAGGAGGCTCATATCACCTCCTCTATCTGCTACTTAGCCCAGCTGCTTGGAGGACCCATTGCTGGGAATATGGAGGCAAGAGGAACAGAATTTTCTCCAAGTGGGAGAGGGTCTCAAGCAGTCCAGAGAGGATGTCTGTGTGGCTTTCCCTCCCTACCTCCCCCAACTCCCACACTGGCCTTTGTAAATAAATGGTGTGGTCTTTGTTGTGAGGGTGTCTTGGTGTTTGTTTTCTGGGGGAGAGGAGGCTGGCTGAAGACAACTTCTAGGCTTTAGAGGGCTTTTGTAAAGTGGGATCTAGAGGAATTTGAAGTTGGGTTCGGTTACCACAGGTGTTCAGAAACATCGAAGATAAAGGGATAACTGATCGTGGGGATATCTATAATCTGTAGTTTAGGAATGGGAAGGATTGCTTTCTTCTGCTCCCCATCGCCAGACATAAGTTATCAAATCCCACCCCTGCTCCCCCATAGGTCAGGGCTGGGAGAAGTTGAATATGGCTAAGTCCTTACTTCCATCCTCTGATCTTTTGGCAAGACTGCCCTCTCCTTCTCCCCTTACTGGGAAAAAGGTCAAAACAAGAGAAACCCTTGTATCCAGACCTAATGCAAGTGGAGTTTAACAGTTATTAGTCTTGAGCTCTGAGGCTAAGCCTAGCTCTACCACTAAATATGTGAATTTAAGGAAGTCTTTTCATATGTATGCGGTTTTATCTTTTGTGTAGTGAGGTTATGGATTAGAGATCTGTGATATCAGAATAAAGCGAGTGGGAGGTTCCACTTCTGATAGTGGTAGGCTGGATGTTTCAGACCAGCACTCTCAGAAATTTTAAATATGAAAACTTTCAAAAAATCAAAGGGTTAACAAGATTGGCTGGGAATCCAGAGACAAAAGAAGGCCCTAAAGGCTGCCTTTGCCCAGGGGGCTTTTCCAGTTGGGAAAAGGCTGCTGAGAGGCTAAGCTGTGGTTTTGAGGGCCTTGAAGGATTAGGAGCTAGAGGAACAAAAAATTGGAATCTGGGAACAGCTAAAGATAGGGATGCTGGTAAAGATCCACTTGGACTAGGAACCCCTAAGGATGAATCAGAAGTAAACCAGTCCTCATATTCTGCAGGCTAGTGTCCCAACATTCTGGGTGGTCCAGAAATTCTCAAGTCTCAAACTTGGAATAAGATGATCCCAGATTGCTAGCATCTCCAGATGCTTGGTAGAAGCAAGCAGAAATCTCAAGGAACTTAACAACAACCTAGGCCTTAAAAGTATTGTAATTAATAATTTTTCAAATATAACATCAGCCACAATAAGAATTAGTCAATTAGTCGAGCTCTTGAAGAAATAAGGCAATGAAAACGAAAGCAAGCAAATGACAGACCAAAAAAAAGGAAATGAGAGGCAACAAATAGACAATTCCATATATTGGGGTTATACAGAAATGAAAACAACTGCTTAGTATTTCAAGAAGATAAAAGCGAGGCTTGGAAATTTCAGCAGAGACCTGAAACAACACAAACAGACATAGCACAATTGGAAAAGGACCAAATAGAAATTTTAGCTAGAAAAATAAAATAAATGAAACTAAGGTCTCAATAGATGGGTTTAATAGCAGATTAGACATAGCTAAGGAGAGAATTGGTCAATTATAGAAACAGAATGAACCTTGGAAAAATAAGAGGATGGAAAATACAGAAGAGACAGTAAGTTGGGCTACATTATGCTTAATTGGAGTCCAAGGAGAAGAGAGAAAGGGGGAAAAGGGATCTGAAGAAAGAGGGTCAGAATTATCTATAACTGATGAAAACCATCAAGTCACAGATTCAGGAAGCCCAATGAATTAAACTTGCACTCTGCAAAAAGGCAAAAGAAAATATTTTAAAGCACCTAAGGAATAAAGATAGTTTATCCTCAGAGGAGTAACAGACTACTGCTTACATCTCAACAGCAAAACTGGAAGACAGAGGAGGGAATGCTATCTTCCCTATGCTTAAAGAAGGTAGCTGCCCAGTGAAAATATCTTTCAAAAATGAAAGTGAAATAAAGATATTTTCAGACAAAAACAGTTCACCACCAGCAGTCTCACATTAAGGGAAATTCCAAAGGGTAATTAATCTTCAGTCATAATAAGAAGGAAAAAATAAATTAAAGGAAGAACAATGAAAGTGGTAAATATGTATGTAAATCTAAATAAACATTGGCTGTAAAACAAAGATGATAATGTCTCATGTTGTTAAAATGTATAGACAAGGAATTAAAGTGCGTGACATAGGAGTCAGAAAGGCAGTGGTAAATGGAGTTGGAGTATACTAAGGTCTTTGCATTGTGCTGGTAGAAAGTAAAGTGTCAGTTAATGTTAGGCATTGGTAAGGCAAGGATGAATGTTTTGCTAAACCACTAAACAGAAAAACAATGTATAACTACCAAACTAATACGGGGGAAAATAAGATAAAAATTACCTTTCAAAAACAAGACAAGGGGAAAAAAAAACCCCAAACATGTCAAGAAGTACAAGAGATTTTCTAGGATGGTGAGACTATTCTGTATGATCCTGTAATGTTGGATACCCAACAATATGCATTTGCCAAAACCCATAGAAATTTACTACACAAAGAGTAAACATTAATATATGCAAACTAAAAAAAAACATATAGGACTTCCCTGGTGGTCCAGGGCTTAAGACTCCGAGCTTCCACTGCAGGGGGCTTGGGTTCAATCTCTGGTCGGGGATGTTCCACATGCCGCATGGTGAGGCCAAAAAAAAAAAAAAAAAAAGAAGTCAGGGGATCCCAGGATGAAATGAATGTAACCAGAGAATCTAACTATACTACAAATTCATGGAATAACTTCACTGAAGGATGGGTGGTAAGTTGTTACCTAAGTAACTTGGAAATTAGTGGAATCTATAAGACTAAAGGCAAAAGAAACTACATAAGCAGGGTACGCAGCAATGAAGACCCAACATAGCCAAAAAATAAATAAATAAAATTTATTAAAAAAAAAAAAGTCAAAGATTGTCAGCCTGGATCAATAAAATAAAAATCTAACTACAAGGCTCTGAAGATCTTGCAAATGGAGGCTCTGATGTGAGCCTGCAGGACAGCCCAATCCACACCCCACCCTACATCTACTGGGGACCCAGAAGCCAAATCCAGGAGGCCCTGGGCCCACTGGTGGCCCACCTCTGGAAGGAGGTGAGGCGCTGAGCCTGCCCTGAGCCTGAGCAGGGGTCAAGACACCCCAGAGGCACTCACAGGGGCCATGGTGGGTGGGTCACAGGCCAGCTGCTTTGTGCTTTTTGGTCCCAGAGACCTCGCCACCTCCTGGGTCATAGCCCTGTCTGCAGAGTGATGGGGGAGGAGGGTTATGGCCCACCCTCAAAGAGAAGCTGGTGTCCCAGAGAAGCATGGCAAAGGGCTAGTTTTAATCACTCGCTTTTAAGTGAAACATTCTGAATTCCTCAGTGGGTGGAGCTGGGGGTGAGGGCAACAGCCTAACAGTATGCTGACAATA